TCATGTTTGGGTTCTCTGAAGCAGGTTACTGGAACAGCTTGCCTGGGTGAAGACAACCACATTCCTTCCATCTGTTTTGTTTTCCTCCAGTAGGAGTCGTGTCTTCAAGTTCACAGTCACAACTTTATTACAGAGAACCCCTCCAGTATGGATTTTCATGTATTAAAAAGGTCACACAGGAGCTGAACCTTTTTTTTTTTTTCATATTAAGTACAAACACAGACATTTTCTTCAGTATAAATTTCTGGTCTTGAAAGAGGTTTGGTGAGTACTCAGAAGTCTTCCTGTGTTTAGTGCATGTACTAAGGTTGCTTTTGTTTCTGAATGCAGTGAGGCATATGGAGCGTTGATCCCCAATGAAGTATTTTCAGGAGGTATTAAAGATTACAGGCCAGTTGCTTTATAAAATGTAAAAGAAAACGAAATAACCAAAACGATTGCTTTCTAACAGGAGCTAGGAGAATGTGATACAATTGCACTAACACTGCTAAAGATCAAACCACAGAATGTTCCAGTAGACTGGATGAACAATTGAAGTCAGAGTCCCTAGTCCTCAGCTGGCAGTACCCCAGTTAACTAGTCAAACAGAACAGGTTTGTGATTTAGAATTCCTGCCTGGCCAATGAATTTACCCTGAAAACATCTTTCTCTAGTAATCTCCTAGGAAATCTCTCCTGCACTTGCCTTACAGGATACTCTTAAGGGCTGACCTGACTCGGTGTACCTGAATTGTGATTTTTGTTTTCAAATAAATGCTATTTATTTTAGTCTCTGGGTCAATGACAACTTGGGTTTGTCAGATACCTTTCATGCTAATGATCAGGCTGTGAACGCCCAGAAAGAACACTACAGACAGCTACTGTATAACATCCATCTGTCCCTCTATGGTGCTATTAATTTTGATAATCTGGTCAAGATGTATCTGAATAGTTACTCTTTTTCCTCTTATTAACTGATAAAAAACATCCACTAGACATTAAACTAGACATCCCCTAAACATTAAGCACTGCAAATATCTTGCTCCTTGGCAACATTCTCCTCTAGTGTTAGTGACTATTGATAAAGATTTTGGTCCAAATCTTATGTTGATTTTAAAGGGGTAATTCCCCCCCCCAATTCTACAGTTTCCTTCTATGTTTATCCTTGTGTATTCTTCTGTTAGGAAGAGACCCTGCCTACTTCTCCAATATCCATCCATCTACCATTTCTCTCTCCTAGGAGACTCAATACTGTACTTCAAACCTCCATTTTCTTGATGGGATTAAAATCGCTTGCTTTCTTTTCTGTTTGCATTTGATTTTTATATCTGCCAATTTTGTTGCGGCTTCACTGTATTATTTTCTTTTATATGTGTATCAGCCCAACCTACTTTTCGAAAAAGGGTTAAGATGATCATTTTTCTTTGTTTACTCTCTAGTTTTCTTTGAAAAGAGTGAAAATGTACAACTCAACACTTCTTATCTTCACACTACCTATTTTAAAAATAATTGCAACTAAAGAGGACTCCTGTTTATTCTACCCAACACAGCTGAAAAGTTTAATTTGGGAAAGGGTTAGAAGTGACAGCAGAATGACATTCTCTTCTCCCTGTACAGAGCAGTAATATTCACTGCAGGGTTCCCACTAAGTACTTTCACCATGGGACAAGACATCATTCTTTAAGTGATGTTCTTCTCATTTATCTGGTTTCTAGGCTGTAGGACTAGACAACACACTAAGTTGGGTTGTTATCTCAATTTTCACAGGGTTAATTAATTAATGTGGGTAAAAGTCTTGTATTTCCACACATGAAAGATTTTGAAAAGCAGTCAATACCATTATGTGTGGTTTCCTGATCCTTTAAGTAAAAGCTTAATTAGTGACTTTGAGAAGGAAATGAGAAGTAATCAAGCACATTAGGCTTTTGAAGATCTAGGCTATTTTTGCAAGAAAAACACTTCCAGCATGTTCTCTTTCCAGAACAATGCATTTATTGGAATTGCAACATACTGCTGTGACCTGCCACTATGTAAGGAGCCACTGTAGAGTTAAACAGGATTCTAGGTGCAAAACAGAAACTGCACACCTAAAAAAATATGACCTCACTTTAAAATAGTGATGTTTTCTGGTTCGATACAAGATTTGTATTTGAAGAAAGATAAAATAAAATATAAAATATTTTATAAAAGTATATTTATTTGATTTAAAATTGAAATATAAACTTTTTCTTTGGGTCAAGAAAATGTGTATGTAGAGTAATACTTACGGAGCACTTCTCCCTGCCTTCTCTCCAATTAATGTCTCTATTTGATTTTCCTGTGTTCTGTTCTTGGGTTATGATTTGATTCAGGGGGGAAAATGGGGAGATGTGAAGAATAACAAACGGTTTCATCTCTTCTCCTTTTATCCTAGTCCCAACATCTTTACCTTCTTGACAAGTTGGGAATATTTTAAATCACAAATTGTTCTCTGTTATGGTTTGGATATGAAGTTCCCCAAAGACTCATGCGTCGAAGGCTTACCCAATGTAGTAATGTTCAGATGTAGAGCCTTTGAAGAATGATTGAATCCTGAGGACTCTGACCTTATTAGTGGATCAATACATTGATAACTGGCTGAAATACTTAGAAGTAGTGGAAACCACAGGCAGGTGGAGCATGGTAGGAGGAGGTAGGTCACTGGGAGCATGTCCTTGGGGACTTGCCCCTGGCCCTTTCCTTCCTCTGCATCTTGGCTGCCATGAGCTGAGTAACTTTCCTCCACCATGACCTTCCTCCCTGTTTCTGCCTCGAAGGCAGCTGACCATGGATTGAAATATCTGAAACCATGAGCCAAAAGAAATCTTTCTTCCTCCAGTTTTTTTGTTTCCTCAAGTATCTGTCACATTGACAAGAGCTGACTAGCATACTTCTGAAGGGAGTAAAAGCTACATGGACCAGGGGGAAACTTAAGGTCAATTCCATAGGTATTGATCTAAGATTAAATCAGGTCTTGTCATGAGGTGGGTTTTTCATCTTCAAGCTGTCTGCTGGATACTCACTATGTGCTAAGCCCAGAATTAGATAATTGAAATAGAGAGGTGAATGACATGCTGACAATAAATATCATATCCACTATTAGATAAACTATATGCATCTTAGAAGATCAAAAGAACCCTGAAAACAAGAGTAACATAAGGAGGACTAGGATGCTGTGGGGGTGGGATACATTAGGATCTTAGGAGGGGGATTAAGTCAGGCTCCATTAGGACATGATCTTTGACCAAAAAGTTGAATGAAGGGAGGGAGGCAGTGACCTTGGTAAAACTCTGAGATGGGAGTGTGCCCCGTGTTCAGGGAACAGCAAGAAATAAAGTGTGCTAGAGCCAGAGTGGGAAGGGAGAAAGGAGAAAGAAATGAGCCTTAAGAAATAGGGGGAAAACAAAGAAAGAAAGAACAAAAAGGAGAAAGGACCAATTAATAAGGTATCTTGAAGGCCCCAGTAAAGAAATGGCTTTTTACACTGGAATAAATTCCTCCAGGAGACGTGGGGAGACACTGGAAGATTGTGAGCACAGGAGTGTGTGACATCTAAGTAAAAAGTCTTGCGTTGGTTACTTTGTCGAAAATAGATCCCAGGGGGCCCAGGGAGGATGCTGGGAGACCTGCCAGAACTTTAAGGCAGTGACAGAGGTGAGGGCTGACAGTGCTGTTCCCACTAGGGAAGTAACAGTTTCTGCTTCTCGCTGCAGGAAGGAGTCAGATACTGAATATATTTTGAAACTACAGCTGCAACATTTTCCTGGTAGACTTCATGTAAGGAAAGAGAGGAATCAAGGGTGACTTCAAGGTTTTCAGTCTTAAATAAAGGGCTAGAGTTGCCATCCGTTGAAATGGAGGAAGTTGTGGCTAGAAGGGATTTGGGGAGAAGATCAGAAAGATAGCTTTAAATATGTCACAGTCGGCATGCTTCTTAGGCACACAAGTGGGGATGTCCAATACGCCCTGGGATAAAATGAATCTGAAATTCAGAGCAGAGGTTTGGATTGGAGATCTTATATAACTTTGGGGAAACATTAGCATATAAGTTGTACTTTCATTGCAAAGTCAAATGGTACAGTTAAAGTACGCGTGGAAGAAGATGCAGAGCCCCAAGACACTGCAACACAAAGATAGGAGAGAAGAGGAAGAACTGGCAAAGAGGAACTGGAGAAGTCATCATTCCCACATTCATCTGAAACTTGCTCCCTCAAATGAATAGAGAAAAGATTAAAAAAAGAAGAAAGAATTATAGGATTGATGCATAGGGTAGACTATATTTTAAAGGCACCCTGTTTCTTTATTGCAGGGACTTAGAGAGGACTTAAGGGTGGAGGGGAAATTATTTTCTAAGAGTGTGTCAAAGTAAGAATTCGCTTGCCTTTTATATGCCAAGTCGTATATATGCAGATTGACAATGAAAGCACTATTGAAATCTCCAGTGCAAAATGCAGGATTTTGTTTATGGAGTCACATGTACTCGATAAATTTATATGTGGAGTTTCTAGCAGATTTTCAACAAATACTTGTCAAATTATTAATATATTACCTTTGCTCTTTGTTGAGAATTTTTGTGAAAGCTCTTCTTTTAGTATAATGAGGACACATGAAAACTTTTACAAATAATTTTTCTCAAGATGTATATGCTATTGAATCAGATACCAGTTTACCAAGACATGCTTTCTCTGTAATTATCTGTCAGTCTCAGTGGTAGGTGTGTGTGAATTGTCTATTTATCTTCATTCTGGCTGACTGGCAATTGTAGTCAATGAGAGATCCATTGAAAATATGAATACCCTCAAATACAAAATGGATTTTCTTACTTGGGTCTAAATAATCTCTATTCAAAGATAGAGCTTCAAACTACATTTACTTAGAAATACCCTAGAAACCTGAGATTATTTCAGATAGAGTCTTTAATGTTTTTTTTTTTTTTCTCTCCAAGGATTTGAGCCTAACAAAGAAAATTGGACTCCTCCTTCAGGAGAAGGCAGTTTTTCTCACCAGGGTAGGAGGAGATGGCGTTGATGTGGGTGGTTCTGATGACACCCACCCGGGTGCCCCGGTTGTTTTTCATGCACATGCAGACGCATATGGCAATTCCAGCAATGACCCCCATGATGAACACGATTCCAAAGACGATGCCAGCAATTGCAGTGCCCCTAAAAGGACAAACAAAAGCACCTTCATTAAAAAGGATTTTAAGTCAAGGATTCTTTAGTCATTCAAATATGGCTCCATGGCTATAGGACAAGTGCTTCTTTACAGATATTCTGATGGACAACTTTTTAAAAGAGAATTCCTTGAGTCAGTCAAGCAAACAGTCTGTACTTCAAAAGGTAAGGATAAGTTATAAACTTTTAGGGAATCCTCTTCTAGCACAGTTGACCAATCTATCATCCTGGTGCTGGTTTTAAGAGTGGGTGTATTTATACAGCACACAATTCTCTGTGTATGCAATCTGACAAGATAATTAAAAACCCATTCTGCTGTGTACCTAAGCAGCAAAGAATCTGGTCTATTGAGAACAGTATGTATGTGTTTAATGAAGACAATCTGATAAATGACATAATACCAAACATGATTTAATATTTATTCTTAATTCAAACTCTTCAGAGGATTTTTTTTTAACCACAGAATGGAAAATAAGCCAAACACCATATTCGTTAATATTCAAAAGTATAACAAACAAGCATTCCCATTAAAATCAGGAACAACTTAAGCATAACTTCTATTCCTACTCATGCTTATAGTTTTCTCCAAAACGTTTTAGCTCATGCAGCGAAATCATAAATATAAAAAAATGCATGAGATAAAACATTATCATTATTTGTGTATAATTTGGAGGCAACTATATTCATCTACTAATTTGAAAAGTAATGAAAAAATCTATCAAAATGAAAATTATGACTAGTCAGTATCATTTCGAACAATGTTCCCTAAGGAAAAACAGCACATGTGTGTACAAATAATAACAAGGATATTCATCAACATGATTGTGGTGAAATGTTCACAGAACATGGTTAATTTTAGTAATAATATGATGAACGAAAAAGCAAGTTTTAACAGTATTTACAGAATAACTGCAATGAGGTAAAAAATTGATATGAGGTAAAAAAATGATATATATTTCTAAATATCAATCATTTAAATAGAGATATAGCAGTTATTTTATAAATAGGGGGAAATAAAGGAATTGTCCACACTGACCTGCATTAGTGGTCTTCAGATGAAGCTTCTGGACCCCATTCCTGCTATTTCTTGCTAAACTGCTCTGTAGAACCACTTTCTTTTATTTATTTATTTAATTTGTTCTAATTAGTTATACACAACAGCAGAATGCATTTCAACTCACTGTACACAAATGGAGCACAACTTCTCATTTCCCTGGTTGTACATGATGTAGAGTCACACAATTCGTACAATCATACATGTACATAGGATAATAATGTCCGTCTCATTCCACCATCCTTCCCAGTCTGACAGCCCCTCCCCTGCCTTCCCTGCCCTCTGCCCAATCCAAAGTTGTGGAACAACATTCTTAAAGACAGATTCAAACAGAGGCAGTCTTTCAGGTCTTTGCATGCTGGTAAGCTCTTCTCATTAAAAAAAAAAAAAAAGCATCCTATTTTGGGTTTGTGAATGCAGTCTTGTTTCTCATTCTCTGAGGTACTTATATTCACTGAAACTTGCCTTAATTTTTCTGTTTCCTCTAGCCTGTGTTCCCTTTCATTGATTGTTCATTTTGACCCCTTTGATGTTTGTTTTCCTCAAATGTCTGGGGATCTTTGAATCCCCTCTGCTGTGGTTTACTTCTGGTTTAAATGTGTACCCAGGGGCTCATGTGCTGGGAGCATGGTCCCTAGTGTTGTGATGTTAGGAAGTGGTGAGATCTTTAAGAGGTTGGGAGGTCACTGGGCACATGTCCTTGTAAACAGTTAACATGATTCTCCAATTGCTCTCTCTCTTTCTGCCTTGTCATGTGATGGTTCCCTCTCAACATGCTCCATCACGATGCCATCTGCCATGATGTGACATAGTCACAGGAAACTTTGCCAGAGGTGTTTGGACTTTCAGACTCCAAAAGTACAAGCTAAACAAACCAATTTTTTTTAAAAAAGTTACCCAGCTTTAGGTATTTCATTATAGTAATTGAAAACAGACAAATATAGAAATACACCTTCTTCTTCTTCTTTTTTTTTTTTCCCCTCAAGGCTGAGGACTGAACTCAGAGCCTTGTGTTGCTAGACAAGTGCTCTGCTGCTGAGCTAAATCCCCAACCCCTAAATACATTTTCTTATATATATAGGCTTTAAATAGGTGCTTGCTATTTCAGTGCGCATGACCCGAATTTGACAGGTGACCTCCACAGATAAAGACCATCTGAGGTCAGTTTTCCTATGCCTTTTCCTGTGGGATATTCATTTTTCTCCATGAAAAGATTCTCCAATATCAAACTTGGATATCATGCATCTGACTTCCAGTATCCTAAACCTTGAACTTTTGCTGAAAAGAAAATAAACTTTCACAAAAATCCTCATGCTTTTACCTCAGAGACCCTGTCTCTCACAATACCATGACTGCTGGCTTTTGGATTTAAGAGTGTAATCTCTGAACCCAGATAACCTGCATTCCAACTCAGGAACCCTGAGAAAGCTTCTCAGCTTCTCTATAACTCAGTTTCCTCATTTATAGAATGATAATTTGGATCCAATCTGTAGAATTTCTTGTCACGATCTTTGTGCTTGTGGATTTCTGTGCTTGGTAAAAAAGTTTTTTTTTTCTATTCTCAGTGCTCCCTAGACATCTATTTTATACTTCTTTTTTAAAAAATATTTTTTATTTGTCAATGGACCTTTATTGTATTTATTTCTATGTGGTGCTGAGAATTGAATCCAGTGCCTTACACATGCTAGGCAAGCACTCTTTGACTGAACTACAACCCCAGCCCTATTTTATACTTTTTAAAGATACCCATAATCTTCCACTGCAAATTATTGGAGCCAATCACATTTCACATGTTGAGGACTTTCAGATTTTGAAATACAATATGCTGTGTCTTCTATGATACTCGCACAAGCAGCTGGGTAGCATCCTGAGCATATTTATGTTTCTATAATGAAGGTAGGAATATTAACACTCATGGATTAAAGATGGATTCAAAGAGAAGTAGTCTTTCGTGTCTTTGCATGCCTGTAATCTGTTTAAAAAAATAGTGTCACAGATTACAAAGAGATGGCCAAAAAGTCCCAGGATTGTTCTAGTCTGATGTTGCCACCAATAGACCCTGACCTGCAATTCTGAGATCTTCAAAAGCTCCTGACAAGTGAAAGTACAGATAAGGGACTGTGAACCTGTATTTGTACTTTCCACAAGGTATTTTCTGAGATTTTTCCCTACTCACTTAAAAAAAAAATAGAATACCATTGAAGATTTCAATAAACTCCTTTAAGATAATTCTACAGGTGTTTTCACTTTGCTAGTAAATTATGAAAGCAGAATATAAGACATATTTGGAGGTGTTGCTATTGGTAATTAAAGAATGTCAGAATCTAGTAATTTATTACATAAATCTTCTCAAGAAAAAGAGATTTATCAAAGGAGATAATTTAAAATAAGAAGATGAAACGTTATCAGGAAACCTTTTTATTGTAATTTCATGTCTAAATAAGATTAAATTGGAGGGTTGAATTTATGTTCCAGAAATAATCAATGGCCCAATTATTCAGGCATAGAGTTTTCAAAGTATGTGTTCCGGAAGCTTTTAAGATATCCAATTAGGGCATATTTATATTAATTAATTTCTTCTTTAAATAGAAGAAAGTAGAATATTAGTCACATTTGTTTCCCTGTTGACAGCTGCTGCAAAAGTGTCTGCTCTTAAGGTCAATAATGAAGTCACAACTCATATGTTAAAGCAGTTTTTTTTATTAAATCATGATTTTGGTGTCCTTGATCCTTTGATACCCATTAGCAATTGTAAATTAGAGTTTAACACATGGCAAGTATAGAATTTATAGCATTATTTACTCTGTTGTCAATAAAAAGAAACAATGGGAAAAAACCCAGGAATCTTCTGTATATAAACAATTTGATTTAGCTAACTGTTGGAAAGAGAAACTATTAACTTGAGAAACTTAGCATCCTGAAAACACTTTAGGGAATGTATTTTTTTTTTAAAGAATGCTTTGCAGGATTTGCATGTTTCCTGCCTTTGAAAGCTTACTTTGGAATAATTTTAAATTCACAGGAAGTCATAAGAATAGAACAGAGAGGTCTGCTGCATCCTTCACCCAATTTCCCCCAAAGGTTACATCTTAACTATAGTATAGCATGAATGGGAAAACCCACATTGGTGTAAAGAGTGCGTCCAATTCTATGTCATTTGAACATGTGCTTATGTTCTTGTGATCATCATAGCTAGCAAGGTACCAAACTATTCCATCACAAAATACCTCCCTTGGGCACCTACTTCATGGTCATGTCCACTCCTCCTTTCTATTCTCAGTACCCCTTGGCAGCACTGATTTGCTTTCCACCTGTCATTTCAAGAATGTTATATATATGGAATCACATGGTACGTGACCCCTAAGGCAGCTAGTTTTCACTTGGCACAATGCTCTGGGAATCCACTCTAGGTTTTAGGTGTGAATTACAGTTGGCTCCTGGATAAGTAGGATTCCATGGTATGGATATCACACCATTTGTTTAATTATTACTTATTGCAGCACCATTTGGTTATTTCAAGTTTTAAGTTTGGCAAATAAATCTGGTGTATACAATCATGTACAGGTCTCTCTCTGGCTATAAGTATTCATTTCTCAACAATAAATGTTCAGGAGTATGACTGTTAGGAGGTATATTATTTATGTTCGATTTCCAGAGAAAATGCCAAACTGTTTTCCTTAGAGTACCTGTACCATTTCATGTTTATACCAGCAATGAATGAGATCCATGTTTTCTGCATCTGGGGTAATTTCCCTGCATCCTTGGTATTGCCATTATAAGTGCCATTAATTTTCAATTTTAACTCTTTTAATGGTGATATATCTCAATATACAATCTCCATCTCCATCTCCTCCTCCTCCTCCTCCTCCTCCTCCTTCTAAAAGTAGTACTGGGGATTAAACCCAGAGGGGGTCTACCATTGAGCTATATTCCA